CACTGTGGAGTGCGCCTCAGGGACAAGAAGAACCAAGTTGGCAACAATGCGGACAGAGGGTGGAGGAGGCCGGCTGCCTGTGTCAGTCTCAGGACGCCCTGCCCAGCTCGGGGGACATGTGGTGGCAGAGGCAACCGCAGCCTGCCCCAGGACAAGGCCACACACGCGGCTGCATTTCTGCTGATGAGAACCACCCGCGAGAGAAAGGAGGCAAACAGGCCCACTCACATTGTATCAAAAAGAATCAAAACACCTACAAACAGATTTAACCAAAGAGGTAAAAACTACAAAACAGTGATGAAAGAGATTGAAGAAGACACAAAGAAATGGAAAGATATTCCATGCTCATGGAGTGGAAAAATCAATACTGTTCAAATATCTGTACTACTCACAGCAATGTGCAGAGTTAGTGCAGCGATATTTACAATAGCAACGAGATGGGAACAATCTAAGTGCCCACCCATAGATGACTGGATTAAACAGCTGTGGCACCTTTACACGACGGAATACTACAAGGCCATAGGAAGGATGAAATCTAACAATTGGTGACAGCATGGGTGGACCTAGTGGGTATTATGCTAAATGAAAGAAGTCAGAGAAAGACAAATACCATATGATTTCTCTTAAATGTGGAATCTAAAAAAAACACCACCACAAAACACGAAGCCCTTAGAAACAGAACCGATGGTCAGTTGCCAGAGGTGGAGGGCATGAGGGATGGCTGAAGGGGTATAAATTTATTGAAAATTTTAAAAATAGGCCGAAACCGGTGTGGCTCAGTGGATAGAGCGTCGGCCTGCAGACTGAGGGGTCCCGGGTTTGATTCCGGTCAAGGGCATGTACCTGGGTTGCGGGCACATCCCCAGTGGGAGTGTGCAGGAGGCAGCTGATCGATGTTTCTCTCTCATCGATGTTTCTAACTCTCTATCTCTCTCCCTTCCTCTCTGTAAAAAATCAATTTAAAAAATATATTAAAAAAAAAGAAAATTTTAAAAATAAAATAAAATGATCTAAGTTTTAAAAATAATGGAACCTGCATCCTGGGAGGGAGAACATGGTGTAGCATCCTGTTATCACAGGTGAAGACAAAGCTGTTGACCAGGAAACTCCCGTCACCTGCCGAGGATCCGAGAATCACGTGGCTCCTGCTTCAGGTGCCACGCCAGGTGCCTTTGCCTGGCGCCCCTCGCGACAGCCACCACCTTCCCTACCTGGGGCGCCTCTGGGACGTGTTCTAGCAGTTGCTCTCCTTTCCCTGACCTCGCCAGTTCCCTCGTCTCACTCCCTCTCACCCTCCACCTCTCAGCAAGAAGACCCTGGAGGCCGTGCTGGGAGCGCTGCCCTGGCTCTGCAGGAGGCGTGAGCACAGAGGTCAGGAAGGTGCTGGCTGGAGGGTTGCAGCCCAGCTCTGCACTGAGCCCTGTGCGCACCGGGAGTGAGCTGCTCGTGTTCCGGCCCAGTCCTCCCCTCGGACCTGGACTCAGCAGGAGCTGCTCAGGAGTGTGGGAGGAGCACATTGCTGACACCTCCCAGTGGCTCCAGGAATGCCTCAAGGGCTCGTGGAATGCCAGGCGGTTCTCCTGGAACGGGGCATCCCCTTTTTTCTACTTGGCACAATCAAGGGCGCTGAAGGGGCAGATGCGTTTCCGTTGTTCCATGGAGAGATCCTTTCACTGCCAGGACAGACGCTGGAGCCACCCGCAGGCCGACGAGGCCCACAGCACACACCAAAGAGCCACCCGCAGCGTCTCGCACCGCTCACTGGAGAGAAGTTCAACCAGGAGGTCTCTCCTTCCCAGGGCTCTGCTAAGGCCTTATCAAGTCTACACACACAAGTGCATGCACACATGCAAACACGCACACACACACACTTGTGGACATACAAATGCACACCACACATGCGCGTGCACAAAAACGCATGCATGCGCTCACAAAACATACATACACATGCACACACATATGCACACAACACACACCAATATTTCGTGTTCTTACACAGATCATTCCAGTGGAGACCTGTGTCTCTTTCCCGCTGACAGAGTCGTTAGCCACGGGGAAATGCTGCGGGGTTATGCTCCTGCTCCGCTGCAGCCAGGCCTCGGACCGGCGGCTGCTCCTTCACTTCAGCTGTGCAGCCCTCCTGCCCCACCGTCTCATGAGTGTGCCCAGCGGCAAGCACCCTGCCCTGTCACTCACAGTGGCTCTTCCTGGAGAGGAGAGGAGAGCAGGGACAACGACACGATGACAACAGCAGGCTTGTCCACTCCTGGAGAGGAGAGGAGAGCAGGGACAACGACACGATGACAACAGCAGGCTTGTCCACTCCTGGAGAGGAGAGGAGAGCAGGGACAACGACACAATGACAACAGCAGGCTTGTCCACTCCTGGAGAGGAGAGGAGAGCAGGGACAACGACACAATGACAACAGCAGGCTTGTCCACTCCTGGAGAGGAGAGGAGAGCAGGGACAACGACACGATGACAACAGCAGGCTTGTCAACTCCTGGAGAGGAGAGGAGAGCAGGGACAACGACACGATGGCAACAGCAGGCTTGTCCACTCCTGGAGAGGAGAGGAGAGCAGGGACAACGACACGATGGCAACAGCAGGCTTGTCTGTGTGACAGGAGCCACCGAACCCCCTGGGCGGGAGCAGGACGGAGAGAACGGCGTCCACGCTCAGACCTGAGGCCCACACTGGCTTGGGCAGGACAGCCGCAGGGCGCTGGCTCTATCGCACCAGCAAGTCTTTGAGTTTAAGGTGCGTTGATGACACCTCCTGGTGGCACAAAGCCCGTGGCATGGAAGTGGGGTTTCTGCAAGGAGAAAGGGTGAGCATTCTCACAAGCGACTCTCACGCTACGCGAGGGGAACAGCGTAAAATGCGCTCTGAGGGGCGGGGGAGGGTGGAGAGGAGGACGGGGGTAAGTGGTGATGGCAGCGATTTGACTAGGGCTCTGAACACACAGTACAGTGTACAGACGATGTGTCGTGGAATTGTGCACCTGAAACCTGTGTGACTTTTTAACCAGTGTCACCCCTACCCTCTATAATAAAGCGGGAGTATGCAAATTGACCCTCACTCCATCACGCCATCACAAGATGGCTGTGCCCACAGCGGAGGTGGGGTTCCCATAACAAGCGATCAGCAGGGACCTGAGGCTGCGTGGTGCCAGGCTGCAGTGGGAGACCTCAGGCTGCGCCCCAAGCCCGGTGTGGGCCAGGGGACCTCAGGCCGCACCCCCTACGCCAGCGCCAGGCCCAGGGACCTAAGGCCATGCCCCCCGCCCCAGCCTGGGCCAGGGGACCTGAGGCCACGCCCCCAGTCCAGCGGGACTTGATGAGGGACCTCAGGCCGTGCCCCCCGCCCCAGCCTGGGCCAGGGGACCTGAGGCCACGCCCCCAGTCCAGCGGGACTTGATGAGGGAACTCAGGCCGCGCCCCCCCGCCCTGGTGCTGGGTCAGGGGACCTGAGGGTGTGCTGGGGGACTTGAGGCTGTGCCCCCTGCCCGGCGGGGCTTGAGAGAGGTGGGACAGGCAGAGTCTGGACCTCACTCAATAGGGGTGGGGCTGGCCGGGTCTGGGTCTCACGTGATTTCGAGGTGCATGCGGATGAGCAGGGACTTGACTCTGGGTCCCACAGCATGCCCCAGACTCTGACAGGAGGAAGATTTTCATATACATTTTACTAATTTTCTTTCACCTCTGCCACTTCTATTATAGAGAAAGGGCAAATAGCACTATTAAAATATTTCCTCTAATTAATCCCCTTTTAATGTGCATGAATTTCATGCACCGAGCCACTATTAAATTCAATAAAAAGGAAAGAAAATGGAAAAGCTCTCAGGTCCTAGTGCAGATGGAGCAGAAGCCTCACGCTGTGCGACTGGTGAACAGGCAGACATCTGGGAAAACTCCGTGGCAAATATGGTCACGGGTGACTCAAAACCCAGAAATTCCACGGTTAGGTCTACACCCAAAAGAACTGAGCGCATACCCCACGAAAGGCCTGCACGGCACGATCACAGGAGCTTTACTTACAACGGCCGAACCGGAAATGCCCTGTCCCACCATGTGGACCGGACACCTCCATACTCAACGCATGCAGCAAGACGGGCTCCACTGCACGCAACACGGCGAACATCACAGACACCTTCGGGCGGAAGAGCCAGGCACACGGGAGTACGTCAGCATCACCGATGGCACTGACAGAAGGTGCACAGCCAGCAAAACTCACCCTCTGCGAGGAGGCGCGCGGGCCATGGCATGGGGCTGGGCGGCTGCTTCCCCATCTGGGGTGAGCACCTAGCATGTTTGCTTTCCTAGGTGTACATCGGCGGCCAATGTGGACGCAGCCCCATTCTTTGCACCCCGAGTGGTTTCCGTGCCCTGGCCCTCTGACCCCAGGCCAGGCCGCATGACAGGTTGGCCGAGGTGGTGCCACACTCTCCCGTGTCTGCTCTGGCCGCCAAGCCGTTTCCACTGCAAAGCACCCACACCAGCTGCGGGGCACAGCCCGCAACCTGGTCCTCAGAGCCAGGCCACAGGGACGGGCAGTACCAGCTGGCTCCAGGTTCGTGGGGACCAAGAGGAACTCAGAGAATGGTCCATCCAGGCCCGACTGTCACCCCCTGCTCAGGTGGCCAGGCAGCATCACCATGGCAACAGGCAAGTGATACCATTGTCTATGTCAATGTAAAGTTTAAACATGTGTAATAAAAACATGGGGGGCTGAAAGACTCCTCCTGAAACATGTATTTCTGAGCACACCACACGTGCAGGAAGGAGAACCTGCTGCAGCGCCACAAGGAAAAACGCAGCCTGAGTCAGCCAGTGGCTCCTGCTCTATAGGTGCAGAGCACGTGGCTGCGGCCCCACCCCCTCTTTAATAGGCCTCCTCGTGCTTCTCCCCAGTGGGGAGCGGGTTCCCCTCTGCTCCTGCTGTGACCCCCTCCACCACCCCGTTGCCTGCCCTTCGGGCCCGGCTGAGCGACGCTGTTACCTGGGTTGACCTGGGCTCTTGCAGAACTCAGGATGGGCAGCAGCAGGAGCAGCACCGAGGGCATCCTGGGGACCGGGGCCATCTCAGCGGCAGCGAGGGACCTGCAGCGCGGCCACGGGGACGCGGGAGAGAAGACAGCGGTGAGTGAGGCGTGCGGCGAGGGCACCGTGTGCCCGAGTCTCACGCTTCCACAGCGTTGGTTTCTGTACTTAGAGCTTCAAACCGGAGACCCTGAGAGCTGAATGGGCACATGTGAGACTTTCCACACTGTTAGTTCACACGCGCATGGAACTGAAATGCTCACACCAGAGGCAGGAAACAAGTTGCCCAAAGGTTAATACTTACCCAAATGGCCACTGATGAACAGTAAAACTTACACTTACAATATTGTCATAATTCTGATACTGATGCCAACATTACACCAAGAAAAACGTTCCGTGATGTTCATTGTCTGTCCTGACTCATGGCTCCGGCGGTGCTTGGGAATTGGACGTTCTCCCCGGATGGCCCAGCGTGAGGGCCCAGGCTGAGGCACCAGCACGAGCTCACGTCCCCCTTAATGAAGTATCTGTGTGCACGCGGGTAGCACGCACACAGGCGCCTCTCGCTCTGCCAGCTGAGAGCGGGGAGAAGCAATGGCACCCCCAGAGCAATGCGCCAGCTCCCTGTGCAGACCTGTGTCTCACACCATCGCCCACGCAACAGTGGGCGCCTTGGCCGGCGGCTCTGGGACTGGGCAGGAGACGGACAGGACGAGCCTGGAGACGCTTCTGGTGTCGGAGGTTGAGGAAGCTACACCCACAAAAATGAGCGGCTGTGTCAAAGGGCCCAGAATCCGAGGAAGGATTCCCGACGGCCGAAGATGGGACCATGTGCACAACGTGGACATCAGCTCTCCAGGCTCCTGCTGTCTCCTCAGCACCTGGCAACCCCCTTCGCAGTCTCCCCCCGTGAGCGTGCGGTCTCGGAGACATCAGCGGCAGCGTGCCGTGCTCGCTCTATTCCTGGCTCACGTCCCGAGGTCCTCACGTCCACCCTTGGGCCTTGCCGACTGTCCTTTCTTTTTAAGGCGAAACAGTGTTCCACTGTGTGGACATACACCTTCCTCGCTCACTCATCCCGCTCCCCTGAGGCCCTCGCTTCTGTTGTTTTGAATAAATACCCAGCAGAAGGATGGCAGGTCACATGGTGGTTTTATTCTATTTTTATTTTTTAGGGTCTTCCTACTGTTTCCCTCGAGGCCCTGGCCCAGTGAACTTCCAGAAGGGAGCCGGGGACGCCAAGGGAAGGCCACGCCGCTCAGAACCGAACCGGAAACTGTGCCACTTTCGGAGGAAGCGGGGAACAGCTCATGGCAGGGGTCCTGGCACTGACTTTGTAGGCATCACAGCAAAAGTACAGGCAACAAAACAAACAAGTGGGAGGCCCCCAGCAGACGGAAATCAACCTCTGAGATGGGAGAAACCGACATCTGATAAGAGATTAATTCCCAAAGTATGTGAAAAGCTTCCACAACTCAATCACCAAAAACAAAAATAAATAACCTGAGTAAAAAGGAGGCGAAGGATTTAAACAGACATTTCTCCAAAGAAGACACAGAAATGGCAAACAGATGCTCAACATCGCTAATCATCAGGAAATGCAAGTCAAAACCACAACAAGAAACCACCTCAGACCTGTCCGGATGGCTATTGTTTAAAAATCTTATCTAATAAAGAGGGAATATGCAAATTGACCATAATGGTCAAGATGGCTGTGCCCAAGGAGAGGCCAAGTTCCCGTAAGCCTTAACAAGCAATCAGCAGGGACCTGAGACTGCGCCCACACCACCCCCCTACCCCCGCCTGGTGGGGCTTGACAGGGAACCTCAGGCCATGCCCCTCACCCCAGCTCCGGGCTAGGGAACCTCAGGCCGTGCCTCTCGCCTAGCAGGGCTTGACTGGGGACCTCAGGCCATGCCCCCCACCCCAGTGCCAGGCCGGGGCACCTGAGGGTGCGCTGGGGGACGTGAGGCTGTGCGCCCCCGCCCGGCGGGGCTTGACAAGGGTGGGGACAGCCAGGTCTGGATCTCGCCCAATGGGGGTGGGGTGGCCGGATCTAGGTCTTGCACAATTTTGAGGCACTGCAGGTGTGCAGGGACTTGACTCTGGGTCCCACAGCATGCCCTAGACTCTGACAGGAGGAAGATTTTCATATACATTCTACTAATTTTCTTTCATCTCTGACACTTCTATTATAGAGAAAGGGCAAATAGCAATATTAAAATATTTCCTCTAATTAATCCCCTTTTAATGTGCACGAATTTCATGCACCAGGCCACTAGTATATAAATAAAAGACAACACGTATAGGCAAGGATGTGGAGAGGGGGAACACTTAAGCACTGTTGGTGCAATATTTTATAAATAACAAAACTTGGGAAGATTTCTCTTAGTGAGCTCCCACCCCTGGGACATGGCCGGCGGGGGGGGGGGGGGAGGGCAGGGGGAGCAGGGCTTTGGGCACTGGGGGAACCACACCTGTCTGTCTCCAAACAGTTGGTGTCTGTGCTTCACGGCGGCAGTGAGTGCGTGTAACAGCGAGTGAGGTGACTGACGACTGATAGTAGATGGATCACAGGAACACAGGAAGATAAAAGTGACAGATGGATGGATTATAGCTGGTAACAGAGAGATGACAGACAGACTGTAGCTGGGTATTAGACAGATGGCTAGGCGGTGGATAGGTGGGTGATGATGGACGGTGGAGAGGTACAGGGAAGAGCTTTCGAGGCATAGCTGTGAGAGTAACTTCGTTTATCTGCAGAAGCAGCACCAGGTCCACTCGGACACAACCCGGGGAGCGGTGGGCAGGGGAGTGGATCCTGGGGGCCTTTGTCCTAACAGAAGGGGAGCCCCACACCCCTGCAGTCAGCCCCCGGGCACAGCGCTCTCTTTCTCCCTGAAGTCTGAATATGAACCATCTTTTCCTCTGAAGCTGAACTAGGAAAGAGCTGAACCCCCACGGCCGGCCCTCGTCCTCGGTGCCCAGCTTCCACGCAGCAAATTTCACATCGCACTCAGTGCACACAAGCTCCCTCTGCTCCCCCTCCATCAGGGAGTCCCCCGCGACGGACAATTCTCCACTTTCTCAAAGGACAGGGCGGGTGCCTTCGAACAGCAAACCCTCCCAGGACCTGCAGGCAGGAGCGTGCCTAACCCAGCCTCTCCTCCCACAGAGCAGGCGCCAGCATGGCGGCCGCTGGGCTCCTCAGATCTGAAAACAGTCACCGACCCCCCGCAGGGCCCTTCTCCCAAGCCCGTGACGAGGCCAGAGAGGAGGGGCCTGCCCTCCAGGAAGGTCGCGTGGCCACAGTGGGGCCTCCACCCCCACGAACAGCCTCCCGGCAGGAAGGCGGCCTCGGGTGGCCATGGGAAGGGCCAGGTAACAGATGGGTCAGGAGCCCCATGCACCACGGTGACCAGGGCTTGGTGGGGGAACCGCCAGCTCTAGGGCCACATATTCTCACTCAGGGCATCAGGGTGTGGCTTTCCTTTCTGCTGAGTCATTTTCATTTCAGATTCAACAAAGGGGAAGAGGACCCAGGAGGAATTAACACTCAGCAAACAAGTGTGCAGATGTGGGCCTGGTTTTGGCAGGAGACAGCCCCCAAACACACACGTGCACACACGTGCACACACATGTGCAAACACTCATGCACATGTCCCATAGCTGCCCCAACATCCTCACGTTTTTTCCTTGCTTTCCACGTGTTTGAGGGGTCTCCTCACCCCCTGCTCTCCCTGGAGGGCCCCTCACGGCTCAGAGGGGACGGAGCAGCCAGCCCGGCCCTGCCCTGGTCAGAGGAGCGCTGTGCTTCCCTCTGTCTCGCTCTCTCATCTGTGAGATGCAGACAACTAGAGCTTGTCCGAGGTAGAGGGTGCAAGAGCTCCCAGCCTCCCGTCCCGCCGCCACCATCACCAAACGCCCCTCCGGCCGTGGGCACAGACCACACGGGCGACGTCCTCTGCCTGTCACACTGTCCACGGGAAGCACAAGGGCCACAGCTGACATCCTCTCTGGTGAGCGGGACGCGGGGAGGCAGTGGCAGCGGCCTTTTCCAAGCAGAGTGATCTGCTGGGTGCGCTGAGTCCAGTGTCCCTGAGCTGAGACCTGGACGCCCAGGATCCCAGCTGAGGCCCAGACAGCGTGGCCCTCGGCTCCACGTGGTGGCGTGTGGCCCCCAGGAGCCGGCCCTCGGGTCCATGTGGTGGCGTGTGGCCCCCAGGAGCCGGCCCTCGGGTCCATGTGGTGGCGTGTGGCCCCCAGGAGCCGGCCCTCGGGTCCATGTGGTGGCGTGTGGCCCCCTAGGCGCCGGCCCTCGGGCTCCATGTGGTGGCGTGTGGCCCCCAGGAGCCGGCCCTCGGGCTCCATGTGGTATTTTGTGGCCCCTAGGCGCCGGCCCTCGGGCTCCATGTTGTCGCGTGTGGCCCCCAGGAGCCGGCCCTCGGCTCCATGTGGTGGCGTGTGGCCCCCAGGAGCCGGCCCTCGGCTCCATGTGGTGGCGTGTGGCCCCCAGGAGCCGGCCCTCGGGTCCATGTGGTGGCGTGTGGCCCCCAGGAGCCGGCCCTCAGGTCCATGTGGTGGCGTGTGGCCCCCTAGGCGCCGGCCCTCGGGTCCATGTGGTATTTTGTGGCCCCTAGGCGCCGGCCCTCGGGCTCCATGTGGTGGCGTGTGGCCCCCAGGAGCCGGCCCTCGGGCTCCATGTGGTATTTTGTGGCCCCTAGGCGCCGGCCCTCGGGCTCCATGTTGTCGCGTGTGGCCCCTAGGAGCCGGCCCTCGGGCTCCATGTGGTGGCGTGTGGCCCCCTAGGCGCCGGCCCTCGGGCTCCATGTGGTATTTTGTGGCCCCCAGGCGCCGGCCCTCGGTCCATGTGGTGGCGTGTGGCCCCCAGGAGCCGGCCCTCGGGTCCATGTGGTGGCGTGTGGCCCCCTAGGCGCCGGCCCTCGGGTCCATGTGGTGGCGTGTGGCCCCTAGGCGCCGGCCCTCGGGTCCATGTGGTGGCGTGTGGCCCCCAGGAGCCGGCCCTCGGCTCCATGTGGTGGCGTGTGGCCCCCTAGGCG